ATTTTGTTATTGCTTATTGGTGCCAATCCCTTGCTGTGCCCAACTTTATCCTACATACATGCTTCGGACAAAGCGCTGCCATGGTATTGGGTGTCTGTTGGGGTCCTGTCTGGATAAGAGGGCATACTGCATTTGCTTGTAATGAAAATGGGTTTTCTCCTGGTGACTTGCCTACTGTTGGGTTATCTGAGACTCCATGACAATGTTCTGAGGATGAAAAGAAGGCAGTTCACTCTGTGCTGAAGATCTTTTGCGACACCCTTTTCTGTGAGTTGCCCCAGTGACTCAGACTGTGTTCCTAGACACTTTGGAAAGAAGAATGTCCTTTCTCCCACTAAAGCCTCCTTAGCCTTGATATCTGTGGCCCAGTGAGGGTAATGATGCTTTCCTTGGAAAGGGGTCTAAGTGAACTTCCATCTGAGCATGCTTGTGTGCCCTTCCCCAGGATCTGTGAGTCATCACCTTTTGCTTCAGCCCAGACGACATAATCGTCTGCCCAAGAACCCACAATGGTTTGTCCTTGGACAATTTGAAGGATGTGATTCTGCCTTGAGGGCACATTTTGGGGAGGTGGAACCTCCATTTATTTGTCTCCACGATTGTTTCCTCTGTGCTTTGTGGCTGCCTGTCCCCTGCCTTCTCATCCGCTCCTGTGACTGTTAATAACCTGCACACGGGTAAGGAATTCTGCATCGTGTGTGTGCGCATGTGTAATGCGTCCAGCAAATGTTCTTAATGATGCATTCAGAGTGCCACTCCCCCAAGGCCCAGCTTCCATTTCATCCAAATCCATTCATTTTGCCATACAGACCTTGGGGATGAAAATTCCTGACTCTTGTGAAAAGCAAAAACACCTTCTGAACACATGCACAAACACACACACACACACACACACACACACACACACACACACACACACACGAGAGTCTAAATTCCCCAAGTTTTCATTCCCTTCATGGTTGAGCTTCAATGACTCAAGTCATTTGCAGGCAATCTATTTAGTTGGCTGGTCCTGCTGACTTCCAGGAGGTCAGCCCTTCTGATTTTGCTCCTTCAGGGGCAGCATGTGGCCCCAGCTGGCTATGTGATGATGGGAATGGGAGCAGAGGGGTTGCGTTGTCTGGAAGCCACGTTGGGAGTTTGCAGGGTGCCGTGCGCCCTGTAGAGATGGAGGTTTTCAGGGAGAGATTTGGTTTGGGGTTTGCTGATGGGAGGTGGGATTGATATGATTACATATACATTACTGGGAGCAATATCTAGCGATTAGATGTTATCTTCCAGGTGTTTAAAAGAAACCTTTAATATTTTAAGCTGCTTGGAGACCTCTCGGCACTTTATTAAAATAGCTACAATTGAGCATGCCAGTTGGTGGCGGTGCTTTCTCTGGATTTTCTTGCCAGCTCAGGGCCCTGGAACCCAGGGTACCTCTGAAAGGACTCAGAAGCATTTATTGTGCTGGCTTCTGCCTGGGAACAATTGGGGCAGCCACCCATTGAATGGGTGGTAGTGGGCTGGCCAGGCACTTCTGGCCCCTGTCAATCCTTCTCCCAAGCTCTGTGACTTCTTGAACCACTTGATTGAATCCCTCAGAAGTTCCCGCCTCCGAATCTTACACAATTGCCTGTTCTCTCTTTATTAGGCGCTTTGAGGGACATCGTGGTCTACACCTGCCTTTGAAGGGGCCCCCACCACGGTTTTAATGACCTCCATTTGTCAAAGGAAAAGTTCAGAGTTCATTCTTTTGTCCGAGCCCTGGCAACTGAAGCGTCGAGGGTACTGGCTGGTCAGTGATCTTTATGTCACTGGCTTGAAATCTTTCCCAGTGACCCCGCTCATGTCAAAACAGCTAGCTGGCCACTCTGGCCATTGTCATCAGAATAAGGGCTAAGTGATGCTGCTTGGTCATTACGTGTGCCCTGATTGCCAATCAGGGCACAATAGGAGGTCATTAAAGGCCATAAAAGTGCCAAAACTGAGAAAGAAGACTTTGAATGGAGCCAGAGGGCCCTGGGAGCTCTGGCTAGCCTGGCGGCCTCCAGAAGGGGGACATGAGCAATCTTGGAGGGGAAACATCAACTTGATGGGGTTAAGAAGTTTTTCTTCCTTGGATACTTTGAATAAATATGTCCCAAGCTACTTTCACAGCCAGTCCTTCCTTTCTCAGATGATACTAGGGTCAGAAACCAAGCAATATTGCATGGGAGGACAGCCTAGGGTTCCAGTTTCCAGAAGGATTCTGATACCGTCTGGGCCAACCGGAAGTCAGTCCTGTCACTCAATTGCAGTCAACACATACCTAGGTGCATACACAGCTCTCTGCAGGGCCAGAGGTGGCTTTCTCAGAACACTTACTCCATACCAGGCTTTGCTGTGTTCTGAATGCTTCTCGGGTGTTAACTCAGATAAGCCCTACACTAAGCCTCGTAGGCAACAGAAGTCCTGGGTCTCTTCCCCCGGCATTGCCTATCTCAGAGAGGCGCTTCAGAGGGTCATGGGAGTCTCTTCTCTTGTGTAAACACTGGAAGTTATGTTTTATTAGGATACACTCGATCTCTAGCCTCAAGTTGGATCCTGGGGTCCACACTGCCCCCATCCTCGCTTGATCATCCCAAAGTTGAACACAGAGAACTGGGGTGTGGACATTGGCCAGTTCCGAGGTGCCAGTGCCTGCATGGCACTGTATAGCTTCACGCCTGTCGCTGCCAGCTCCACTGACTGGGCTGCCATTCACTGTGTAGGATATCAGAGAGTCTAGACCCTTCCTTTCTGTGTCCCTTTGGGCCAATCACTTCACCTCTCTGTGAGGGAGCTTTTGTCACTGGATCTTGCCAAGGGTGGGTGGTCACCGAACTCATGTAGAACTTCTCAATGGGCTCTCCTTCTCTGACTTAGACTATGGATAGAGGGCATACAATGGTCCTCTTGGAGGTAATCTTCTATTGCAAGGCAAGTCATTTTGAAACCTTGGTTTCTGATTTCACAGAAACTAAAGTCCCTGTAAATTTCTAGAGGCAGGAAGACTTGGGGGAAATGTGAGGTTTGTTCTGCGTGTCTTTGAGCTCCGTGCATCTCACAGGGGTGTGTGCCCTTCTCCTCTACCTATCGGGAAGCTCAAGGATTGGGTGTAGAATTCTCCCAGACAACTCCATACAAGGGCAACTTTCAGCCCTTTGAGAGTTACCTTTTTCTTAATAAGCAGCCTTCTGACCCCAGAAATCAGCTGGGAGTGAGTGGTATGGGCACCAGAGGAAGGGGTTCTATCCTCAGACTGTTGGGGGTTTCCAGAACTGTGTTGGCAAGCTGCATATGGAGCCAACAAAAAAGGCCCTGGACTCCAAAGAGGGAAAGCTCCTCGAGGACCAGCTCTGGTAGCCCTCTCAGAGATTCTGTGTCCCACGAGACGGGGCTGTCCGGAGCACTTAATGTCTGGGAGGAGGAGGTGCAGGGAGGAAAATTAGTGCAGATGCCTGGAACAGAATGGTCTCACAATTCCTAGTGTAACCGCCACAGACTGATTGCCGCTGAGCTCTTAAGGTGAGCAGTGCGCCTCTTCTGTGGGCCTCAGGGAGTCCACTCTGATGGAGACCGGAGAAAGAGAGGACGGAAAAGGGAGAGAAGGGGAGCAAAGTGCACGCTCATGGCCTCTTTCCTTAGTTCAAGGTTCTCTTTGAATGATTAATTTGTTCTCCTTCAAATCAAAAGCTGTTGAGAGCGTCTCATGGCCAGTCTCTGCACGGGTGATTTACGGCCCTTTTAAAAACCTGTCTCTTCCCCTCCTGTCTCCAGGTCTTCTCCCCCTCTATTTTGAAGTCTATCTCATTTTAAAGCCCAAGCTGATCCCAGACTCAAGATCCTCCCACCTCTGTCTCCCCGCTGCTGAGATGACAGGCCTGTCCCAGCAAGCCTGCCATCACCTCCCTCTCTTGGCTTAGAACAGAGCCAGCTTTTCTTCCTCTTTGTTGGAGGGGACGAGGTCTTGAGAATGGGAGGGCAGGCTTTGCAGATGGAGTTAGTCCCTGGTTCGGAGACTGACGTCTCTGCAACATTTGGAATGTCCATTCTACCCTTGATGATGTATCCATAGGAACATTCTGGAACAACAAGGCACTACGTTAGACTCTTGTACTCTTGCCTGACTTAGGCCAGACTTGCCTCCACAAATAGAGATTCCTTGCCTCCGGGAATTTTCCAAGCACATTTGTCTCTGTCTAGGAGACAGGTGGGATCCTGCCATCATCTCTGACTTTCAAATTCCCGGAACCTGACAGTGTTGGAAATCTTATCCATCCTGCATCCTGTTCCTTGGAATAGCAGAAATGATGCCTGGGACTTGCAGCTGCTGAAGTTTGCATTATCCAGTGATGCCTTTGGGAAGATGCTGTCAACTTCCAGGTCAGAAAATTCCCACGTTTGCTGGTGTTCACAGTTAAAGTGCCAGGCATCTACATAGTCTGTTGTGGATAGCCATGCTCACCATGTGACCCAGGGCCATGCCCTCTCTGTGGCTGACCCTTTGTGGTACAAGATGGTGGAGCTGAACCATTGTGGGCTTCTTCTATTGCTAACATGCCATTTCAACCATTCTTTCCTTCATTTATTTCATATATGTTTACTATGAGGCTTATGCTATGTATTGACCTCATGGAATCACTGAATTCATTTGTGAGTGAGACAGTAGCCTCAGGTCCCACAGCTCAAAGGAAATCTGAACAATTGGAAAGGATACCATGGAACCTGCAGAAGGATGAAGGAGGGTCTCGGGGAGAGTTTACAAGAGATGGATTTCATAGCTCAGAGACTGACAACTATGCCGAGAAGTCTTGGCAGATGGTACCTGAAGAGCTGAGTGCTCTACCTTCAATGACGTTTAAGTGTGTTACAGGGACAGCCTGCAAGGCCTGTCCAAGTAGTTCCTTCTCAAGAGGCTGGGGCAGTGGTATAGGGGGTCCTTCTGTTTATGTGTTGCTTTCATTGGTTGAATAAAGAAACTGCTTTGGCCTTGTGATAGGGCAGAACTTAGGTAGGCATGGAGAAGACAGAACTGAATGCTGGGAAGAAGGGCAGAGTGGCAGATGCCAGGGAGTTCCTGCCTGAGACGGTCGCTGGTTAGAATCTTGCTGGTAAACCAGTCATACGGCAATATACAGATTTAATAGAAATGGATTAAATCAAGACATATGAGTTAGCCAATAAGAAGTTAGAGCTAATGGGCCAGGCAGTGTTTAAATGAATACAGTTTCTGTGTGATTATTTCGGATGTAAACTAGCTGGGCTGCTGGGACAGAACAAAGGGCCTGTGCTCACTGCACCAGGGCAAGAACTGGCCAAAGGTCGAGGGAGGTGGGCCACCAAAGTGTACAAAGAAGAGAGATGAGTCAAAGATGCCAGCTGGGAAGATCACTGTGGGCTAGCTGAAGCTGCTGCAGGCATCTTTGGAAGTTGATTCAGGAGAAGGTGAGTTGGTTTGTGATTTTGTTTCAAATTAGAAAGGATGCTAGTAGCTGATGGTAAGTGTACCATGTGTCCATATGTTCTGAGTGAGCACATTCAACAAACCACTGAGAAAATTTTTAAAAGTTGCACCTGGAGCAGGAAGACAGCTCAGCTGACAAAGTGCTCTCTAAGCGAGCATGAGGGACCAACCAGAGTCAGAATCTCCAGGATTCACATAAAGCAGGGGCAGTAGTATGCTTCCGTGACATCAGTGTGCCGGCGGTCAGATGTACGGAGACAGGAGACTTCACAGGTGCTCACGTCATCTAAGATGAGCTATGTGTCAGCGAACTACAGAGAGACCAGTGTAAGGTGAGCGCTGACACTGGGGGGGGGGGGGTTTGACCTCTGACCTCCAAGTGTGCTATGGCATGTGCTTACATTCACTGGCTGGCTTCAAGTGCGGCTGTTCTCCTTGGCTGGTATTTTTTTTTTTTTTTTTTTTTGCTGTCCAGAGTCAAACCTCTGGTATCTCCTCCTCATGCTGTAAGGACAGGCATGACCCTGTTCTACTTATTAATTTATTAGTAGGTTTAATTTATCTACTTATTGTCCCGTCTTCATGATCACATTCCCCTTACTTATCCCTAATGTGGCCTTGTCTTCTGATAGGCACATTGGTCATTATGACTTCGTCATGTAGACTCTTAGGTGCTTGTACTTTGGCCAGTCATTTTTTGCAAATCCTGGGGGAAAGATTAATATATCAGCAGTGAACAACGGGACCCAGTGGCCTAGGCCACTTAACAACAACCATGGAAATCTGTTAATTTCTAACAACTTGTGAGATTTCCCTTGTCCATACCATAGATTTGGCAACCCTGTGTGGGCAGCATGGAACAGTATGGAGCAGCCCGGAAGAACACACAGAAAGTTGTGCCAAATACTAGGGCAGATGCTCCAGAATAAAACATCAATTAGGTATTGGTAGTGTCAGAAGATATCTTTAAGGGGCAAATGAACCGAGTGTCCTGGGGGATCAGGATCCAGCCTACTGTTTGTTCCACTTGGCTATTTTCTCCACCGGGACTACATTTTCATCTTGCTGAGTGGAAAGTCAGTGGCTGCCCGGAGCACTGAGGTCCCTATTATTAACCAAAGGGAGCCATTCTTCCCTCTCTGGAATCCCAAGCTTATCGGGAGGGACCTCTGTCTCCAAGAGCTGTAAAACAGGCTTTTCCCCTAAGCTAACGGCACACAATAGAGTCACATTATGTATAATGATTTTGTAATGTGAACTAATTCCACCAGGGACCTCATGGAAAGTACCACTTTCATTAAACTCATCCAGCAGCAAGGACCGAATACCAATTTGGAGGTGACAGCGATTTGCAAGTCGTGCATGTTTGAGACAGTTGCTGGGTCTTCCCTGAGCAAAGGCCCTCGGGGTAGACATCCACCCACTGGGTGACTGCGGTATCCTGGCACAGTGGCGATTGGGGAAAAGGCCTTCTCCCTCTCCACCCCACTCTGTGCCCTAGTTATTCAGCTCTCGGGCTTCTTGACTCTGTTTCCATGGTCTCCTCTATCTCCCGGGCTGTTCTGCTGCCCCCAACACAGCAGAGAGGGCACCAGGGCATCACTAGGAATTAATGAGACTCCAATTACATTTATTTGCTTCAAGGAATTATGCCCAGCACTGACACCCCCCCCCCCAGATAACAGTAGGCTCTCAACACCTTGCTGTCCCTTCAGAAGTTAGTAATTATGAGAAAGACAGGTTATGTGGGAGCAGACTCGGAAGTAAATAAGAGAGACACGGGCCTCCTCTGCAGAAGGGCACACCAGCCCCACTCTGATGCCTGCGTCGCCCCCCCTGAGACTTGTCGAGGCCACCAACACCCAGAGATGAGAGAGAAGACAGCGCCCATCAGAAGCTCCCCTGTGCCATTTTCCTGCCTCGCTAATCTTAATTGAATCCATCTCCCAGGCTCTCTTGACAGTGAAAGATTGATCAAATCAGGGAGGCCAGGCTGGACACCACTCCTAAAAGAAAAAAAAAATCTTCCCGAATCATTAATTTGTCCATTCTCTCCCATTTGGACCCATTCTTCACTGTCCTGCGGTCCCCTTTCTCAGTAATCACTCTGGAGTGTTCTTCCCAATGGGCCCACATGGCCAGAAAGTAATTTACCAGAGGAGAATTTTGCAGGACAGCTCTCTTCTCTCCCTCCCCGACGTGTTTTGTCCCCTGTCTATGAAGTCCAGTGTGGCTCTAATTAAGTTCAGTGTCTCGGAACACACACTGGTGAGCAGGTCTCCAGCCCTCTCCGCTGGAGCCGGAAGTACCCAGCAACAAACTGGCAAATGAGAAAGAACACGGGAACTGTGGGCTACACCTGGATCCTGTCTGGAAGGGAACCATGAGATCCCCTCAGGGGCTGCTCCTTCCCTACCGCCACCCTTAGCTCTTATAGACTGTTGGTGTCACCTATCTCAAAGTAAGGCAGTGTACAGTGAGCAACCGCATGAGGCAACCAGGGCCATCTGAGAGAGCTTACCGCCCACAGCCGTTACCTTTGGTGCGGCCTCTGCAATAGCTCGCTAATGGGCCCTGCTCCTTTTCTAGCCTTCAACGTTCTCTTCTTCCGGCACAGTTAAACCTTCAAAGCATGGGGCACATTGTTTCACCCTTTGCTGAGGCCTCCTTATGCTCAGCTTCTTCCTCAGCTAAAGTTAAAGAGGCCCCTGTGGTCCGAGAGTAGGAACTGGGCCCTAGTTGCCTCTCTGATCTCGTTCTTGTTCTTTTACACCCTGCTGCTCATCCCCCCTCCAACTGTCCTGGTCTCCCTGGTGTCCCTTAAAGATGTCACTTTTGCTCCTTCTTCAGCCTCTTAGCTGGTTGTCCCCTGCCTTCCATGTTCTTCCCTAGTGGACACAACTGCTCCCTCCACTTCACTGGGGCCTCTCATCAAATGTCTGGGCTAGATAACAGGTTTTAAGATTTAGAGCACTAGCTGCTCTTTCGGATAACTCAGGTTCGGTCCCCAGCACCTACACACATGGCGGCTCGCTGTTGTCTGTAGGTCCAGTTCCAGGGGCTCCAGTACCTCCTCTGGTTCTGCGGGCACCAATCGTGCACATGGCGCACATACACATGTATAGGCAAACACTAAATAAAGATGGTCATTCTGTCAAGACACACCCTTGACCACATTCCTCTCTGAATTGCCGCACGCCTGTTACTTAACTTTCCAGCTAGCGATCATTGTCTATCCCCGTGTTTGCTTTATTTCCTGTCTCCCGCTACTAGCTCGCAAGATCCACAGAAGACTTTCCCTGCCATAGAGTAGATATTTATTAACTATTGTAAATATAGAAACGTTTAGGGGTGGGGCTGTTGAGATGACTCAGAGGGCAAAGATGCTTGCCATCAAGTCTGATGTCGTGAGTTCAATCCCCCAAACCCACATGGTAGAACTGATTTCTGCAGTGGCCCTCTGACTTCCAGATGTGTGTGGTGACACGTGTGTGCCCACACACATATGTGCATATGCAAAACCTATGTAAATATATAAGTGTTAAACATTTTTAAAGCTATGCTTCATGAGTGACTGTTACAGTACCAAGATTTACTGGGAGCATGTTAACAATGACGTAGTTGATGACGACTCTTGATGCCATGTTTTCACGATTTCAAAATTCATAAGATGTCCCATCCACAAAAAGAAAAAAAAAAAAGCAGGGTGTGTTGGCGCTGCCTTTTAATCCCAGCACTTGGGAGGCAGAGGCAGGTGGATCTCTGTGAGTCTGAGGCCAGCCTGATCTACAATGTAAGTTCCAGGACATCTAGGGTAATTACACAGAGAAGCCATATGTCAAAAAAACCAAAACAACAAAACTAAGATGTTCCGTGACTTGAACCTCAGGCTTGACACCTGCCAGGCAAGGCTGTACCACTGCCCTGTATTCTTCGTCTTCAGTTTTCTTACTGCTCTCCGGCCTCCCACAGCAAAACAACCGTAAAGATGAGAGAACTCCCTAACCTGGTTCTCTGTGGGAGCAGTGACTGACTCGCTGAAATCTAAGCAAGACGGATAGCTGTCACACCGGGCTTACAGTCTGGCAGCGTCTTCCACCAGACCCCATGCCACTGAGGCAGAGACCCCACTCTCAGCCTTTGGGGTGAGATGCACAGGTGGATTTATGGCAGCCTTGTTCGCTGTCCCCTGGCCTTCCAGGTCAGCCCTCCCAAGGCTCCCGTGTGCAAATGCCAGCTGGTAAAATAAACAAAGTCCACTGTTCTCTCCTGCCGGGCCATAAATCGGCCCTGGCCTTCCTCACAGGGACAGAGGCAGACCTGATTTATGCAGTTTGGGAGATTTACAGCCTAATCATTTAACATAAGAAACAAGACCTCTCAAACATAAATTCCAGAGAAAGCAAATGTTTGGAGACTTGTGTTTTCTTTTGGTGACATTGAACATGCACACCTCATCTTAGGGTTCACAGAAGGTTGGAGCCTTCACTGTTGAAAGTCCGTGGCATGTGCAAAGGCCATTGAGCA